GCAACGTAAGCTATGTTATTGTATCGGAATGAGGAAAATGGTACTCGAGAGTTCTTTTAAAATGTATATATTGTGCTGTTATGTTTCAGTACCGTAGAATAAATTCCTATTTTAAAGACATATTTCGTAGTAGTGGCCATTTCTCTGAAATCGATCATATAATTAACGTAGCACACATATTTGACATTCCGCCTAGAGCCCCTGATAGCCCCAGGGATCGCTTGACAAAACTAGGTTTCTATCAGGGGGAAAATCTTCTCCACAGGGTTCTCCACACGTGTCAGGGGGAAACTCGTCTCGTCTCTCTATCTCGTCCCCTTGAGGTACGGGATCGGGAATGTCACTTAAGCTTTACAGTCAAATAAGACACACACAACGAAATACGTTTCAGCTCTCGTCTTAGTCGGTCTGTTGGAGCACTCTATAAGACACAGCGCCCTGGGGAAAAGTCCCCAAGACTTTCACAAGGCTGAACCAAGACTCGCCCAAGACTGGACTGCCTCAAGGCTCGCCCCAGGACTCGACTCTCCAGGACTGCACTCTCCCTACTGCGTCTATCGTGCTGTGCTCCCCAAGACCAACTCAAACTCTCTTTATTCATTTTCAAAACTCTAACCAATTACAAAGCAGTAAAAAGACTCTAAGGCGTAACCTTCAATCATAAAGCCAATCACACTAAGTACTGAATACGTCATATCTTTTGATTAATCGTTCACTACATTAATAACTACGGATATAAACTGTCAAAATGAGTAGCCTAAAAAGCGGCGGTTATCTGGTAATTAGTTCCAAATCACTGAGCCAAGTTCCGTCCAAAACTTCAAATAGACCTAAACGATGACGGACATAACACAGCAATTCGCTCGTAATCAACTAATTAAGTCGGTTAACAGATACGCAAAAACAAATTCATGACATTTCAATAGATGACGCCCTCTGGAGACATGGGCCATCTATATCCACTTGCAAGTGATTTTAATGTACGACGTCGGTATACCATCACAAATTAACACTAATGAAACAGAAATAAAATCAGAGAAAACAGATCAATAGTTAAAACTACTGCCGCTTTAAAAAACGCTCCTTATATTTATGGCTTGCAGACTTTAGTACGCTATACCTGAATACGTGTGAACACGAGTCATGGACGTTTGAAACGGTATTGTCGTTATTGTTATAAAATTTGAATATTGAAATTGTGGAAGGTAAACACTAAACTCAAAGATGGATAATAATTGTTTTTTTGGTCTAAACATGGTTTATCCAGAAAGCTAGTGATTGAGACTGAGGTCATGTAAAGCATGTGTGACCCAAAGTATGGTCAACTGGAATTCAAATATGATGTCTTCGATATCGAAACCAATTCGACCTGTCCTGTGATAATAGCCATATATAGGGCTATAGTTGTTTTGCTACATGCTACATACCACCAACATGTGATTATATTGTATCGTCATTATATCGATAATGTAGAAAGAGTCGATTTTCTAAACTGTTAATTTAGGCAGGGCCCCATTGATGGATCGTAAGACTGGGAGTGGGTTCAATCATGATCGCACGCCCGCAATTTACATTATTTGTATATTTATACAATAACTGTGAATACAGCTTGTTCTTTTGAGGAAAAATAAGAGTAAATAAAAAATCGCGTATGATTTATGCGAGTCTGTCTCCCAAGTTTAGCGTCTGGGGTCGAGGTTTATTTGTATCTTCTTACACCGTCAACGGGCGTACCAGCGTTGATGAAATTATAGAACTCAAGGCTTTGAGAACACGTCGTCCCCATTTATTGGTTGATTCATTTGGCTTGCATTTAGACGGTCTCACTCGAATCCCCGTTACAATGTGTTATACAGTAAATAATGCACGAAGACAGTACGGCGATTGTATCGTCAACCGCATACTCTTAGTATGACTATTAAGGGGGAGGGGTAGTTTTGTTCTACTGGAATGTATTAGGACAAGATGGAGATTTATTAGTATCAGCGACTCCGATAAGACGATAGGTAATCAAATAGCGTAGCACTGACATGCTTTATAGTGTATTGATATCGGGTACATAAACGAGAAAATGATTCTCAATTCCTAGAATAGCGTAATTACATCCTTTTCTTTGAATTTGATAAGCTATTTATACATTCTATAAACACACACACATAAATAGAGTGCATCACACAACGTTTTGGTAATTTTACCACATTTTATATGTATGTATAATGTGATCGTACATATTCTATATGTTTGAATGTCACTTTCGAAAATTCATTAAATGATCACCAGTTTTAGCCATGTGACTTACAATCAAAAGTTATTAAACTTGTAACAACTTTAAGTTTAAAATCATAAAAGTGCCGATTTCTCGGTGTTCGATTTCTGGCAATTGCCGTTGACCTAATTTTAAATGGCGTTTCAGTGAGTAGGGCTACGATGTCGCCGTTTGGCTTTTCGTACTCTCGAATATGTTGGCTTCGTATCCGTATTTACATTTTTGCGAAATTCTATCGCGTAGTTTCACAAACCTCGCGCAAACCACCGGTATACACTAACTTCAACACCAAAAAACGTGCTTGAAATTTTCCATTTTCGGAGAGGAAAAAAAACTTAATTTAAAAAATAGAAATACGGATTTAAACTTCATGACCCTTGCTTCAAAACAGTGTAAATTTTTCATGCCAAAAAACTATCTCGCTACCTTAAACATAGGAGTCAATTTTTCTCCTAGATCCCGCTTTATGCGTGAAATCGAGCGTAAAATAGGAGAAATCAAGATCAAAGCGTTGTAGTGGCGTCAAATTATCGCGTGGAATTCGACAAACGCAAACCTTATTATTCTATGATATATAAATATTTGATGAAGTAAGGGTATTCCAATACTGGGATTGGCATTTCGATATTGAGAAACAATTAAAATTCAAGTTTAAAATCAAATCGATTTTCGCGGCAGACTTTCGAACAGCATCTTTCAGGCATTACGGATTTATCCTGGTTTATTATAGACACATTGGTATCGGGATGGAAAAGGCTTCAACGAATGCCAAAACCAATTAACGTTATTAAAAATATATATACAAGACAAATACGACCTTCTATTTGTTTGTTTAATTAAAGCGAACCTAAATGCGGCCTTAATTTATAGTTGTGTATATTCTAAACTGTATTCGAAATAATATTGCAGTGGTTTAATTTTGTTTTAATTATAACTGTAGCTTGGATAGGCATTTGAAGTGCTTGCAATTTAACACATGGAGGCCATTCATGGAGGGGAATAAATAACGAACGAACATATTAAACATCCGGGTACTTTTCAAAGCTATGACGTTTTAGTATCTGATCGCATTCGTATACGCCATTGTACATAGCCGTTCATGCTGCCAAGCATTGTGTACTACTAGTATAAACTCAACTTTTATATGCGCAATGTCCTTTTTAAAACTTGGGTTAGAGCCTTATGCGTTTGAACCACAGTATTCTGAGAGTGGAAGCCCGATTGCGTTAAAGTACCGTACTTCCCCGATCGTAAGTCTCTCTCGAGTATGAAGCCCATCACTATATTTTTACTAGGTATTTATCGAGTTTATAAGCTCAGAGTGTTTTTACTGGTTTTTACTGGTTTACCCACGGTTACTATTAACCGTCGTTTATATTTCGAGAACTGCGAATCGCCAGTTTTTAGGGAAAAAAAAATCATCGTTTTTTCGTTGCAAACAGTGCTACAGATCGCAGTTTAACATTGCAGTAATTCACTTCCGCATTGCGATAAAAAATCACCGTCAATAATCGGAAAATTTCATCATTTTGATTGGTTAATGAAAGACATGACCTGTTAGGTCAAAGGAAGTTGTTCCAGGTCAAATCGTGCTGAAAAACCTCATTGTGGAAAATTGCTTTGCGTCGAGAGTTTGCGTACGATCGAAAACATACCAAAACGAAGATAATGATAAATGCCTTCGTCCACTGTTTCCTCGCAGACCCTACCCATTATTTCACCGTAAATTCAGACGGTATGTAAATCGTATGTAATAAAATGTGTGTGTTTTTATGAACATGTTTGTTTCTTCATTGTAAGTGTTGTGGAAATCAATGACGCATTTTTTTTTTCAAAAAGAAGTATTATTTTCCCGAGCCCGGCGTGGTGAACGAATAATTTTTTTTGGATAATTTTTCGTTGTTAGCAAGATGGTTACAGTGTTTAACCCCAAAACAAAATCATCTTTCTGAGTTGGTCCTCGAGTATAAGCTCATCCCTTACTTTTTCCTTACGTGTTCATGCCTCCGGGCTTATGATCAGGGAAGTACGGTATACTGTGAAGATTCAGATCAGTCCAGTGTGAGTGATGAGAGTATATCGTCGACGATGCCCCTTGTTCGGATGATAGTTTTATTTCAAGTTACACGGAAG